AATCTAGTTTAAAAGTTATTTTTTTATAAAATATTTCAAATTATTTAAATATATATTTGTGTCCAAATTATTTCAAATTGGATGAGATAATAACATTTTTTTGTATAAATATATATTTTATTTATTATGATACGCCCCAATATTGAAAATCTGTTGCGTAGTTTTGTCGCATCTGATGCCTCGGTGAAATCTTGTATTTCTTTAATAGAGGATTCAATTTGTTCAATTAAGTATGCTAACGAATTTCGAACTGCGTTTGAGAAATTACAACACAAAGCTAAAAGCAATCTGCTTGAGATGCGCGAAATATTGCTGAAGCTGTATATCGACAATGACTCTTCCCCTCCACTTCATAGTCTAAAAATGAGATCTGCAGCCTCCAACAACAAGCGGCAATTTCACGAATTACAGGTTTAATTATATATAATATGCATTTTTTTATCCAATGCTTATTATCGTAAATGTGATTAACGAACTTTTCGTTACTTTCCTCTAGGATTCGTATAACAAAGTCGTACTTAAAGGAATTGCCCACTTAGAAAAACTTGAGAAGGCTTCTCTGATCTATGAAACATACGGACGATCTAACAAAACTACTCGCAACTACCATGATTTAGACGATGATCTAACTCAAGAACTACAGGTTCACTATCCATATTTTATTCCTTTTTCCTCATTAGTGCCACTTTATGTTAGAAGTAAAGTTCATCTTTCATTTTAGTCTCATGCAAGGAGTCTTGCTGAACAGGTTGCGCTCAGTTCATCCAACGCAACCCTCGCTGTCGACTCTTCCCAAAAGATAAGTGATAACGCCAATGAGCTTCGTGAAATGTCTGGCGAACTATACGTGTCTTCCCGGCTTGCCAAACGTCTTTCAAGGCGTCGGTTTACTGACAGAGTTCTATTTACTTTGGCATTCCTGTTTTATTTTCTTACTTGTGCTTACATTTTTATTAAAAGAAGTTATAAATGAAACCCATCAGGGCAATTTCCGAATCGGTTCCTAAGATCCTAGCAGAACAATGGGCTTAATCTAGCTTATCTTACCATATTCGATATTCTGGCTGACGCTTCCAAGTTACTGTTTTAGACAACCTACACGATCCTCACGACGTTTATCAATTTATGTAGTCGAAAGTTTGGCTTCAATTTCCTTTATACTAATAATAGTAGTTTGCTTTTGAAATGCAAACGAGCCTTACCGCTCGATGCTTGTAACTTCGATATTGGGCTTCGATGAATCTCTTGAGATAACACTGCTAGGGGGATTTTCATTTGGTATGAAAGTGAATGAAGAAGAGATTCGTTGGTCCATCTCACCAGATGAGACAGATAAATCTCGTTATACTGCAGCCGTTTGGCCTTTATACTATATTCATGTTGACACAGTCCGTTAGACTTCCTCCCGCGTTTCGATAAGCATATGATGGAGAAAAGCTCAGCACGTCTTTACCCGAAACGAGGAAGGAAGTCTCGTGGGCCGCGTCAACATGAATATCGTACAAGAGCCAAACGGCTACAGTATGAGATTTATCCGTCCTTATCTGGTGAGATCGACCAACGAATCTCTTTTTCATAAGCTCTCATATGAATTGAAAGTCCCTCTAACAACAGTTTGTTATTTACGCTGACTACATTCCTGACCCAAACTTCGGTTGCCCATTACGACTAGATATCGTTCTCTACTCATTGTATACAAGCATTGTCATATGCTATGCTACTTCTCCAACCAGAATTCTGAACAGTGCAGTCGCTTTATCTAGAGAATGCAGCTAGATGTTTTTCTATCCATTGTTACGATTGTTCCCAGTACTTATGGTAATGTCCTCCACGGATAGACCAGAATAATAAAATAGCAGATTAAAATAGTTTTTTTAGTCCTTTTATATGCATTTATAAACTGTCAAAATTACTCTAATACCTTTGCTACCCTAGGCCAAAATCCATCTATATGCAATAAATGCCATGAAAAATCGTTGTCTGCCTGGTATATATTTCATATCGTTCGATAGTTATGCATGCCACTTGGTTCTTTCCTATCTATTTGTATGCTGAACTTTTCATGCTAGGTAAAAAGAATTGTATAAGCGCTCATTATCTTTTGATGTATGTGGCAAGATGACAGGTCTGTTGATAACTAAAAAGATTAGCGATGGTAAAATAAACCGATATTCACTGACCTCATCACATAACTTGGACTTGTTGACCACTAGTAGTCTCCTGGATTGGCAATATATCTCCGATCATGGGACTTTAAAAGTAATCAGCAGCATCTAACAAGGATAGATGAACAAACGAGTACGTATTGCAAGCACTTTTGAACGAGTTAGTTGAAAAAGATAAGGCACGCGGAAGCAACTTCTGAGCCGCGAGAAGTGGTCACTTGGTGTAACATAAAAATGTAGCGGTTTAAACGGAAGATACTAATTGAATTAAGAAAGCCCTGTGCATAAGCTAAAATAAATCACTAAACGGTGGAAGGGCTTAAACGGCGACGAATCATATCCAAAAAAATAATGCGGGAAATTATAATTGGCTAGGGTT